GCTAACTACTACTACTACTACTACTACTACTACTACTACTACTACTACTACTACTACTACTACTACTACTACTACTACTACTACTACTACTACTACTACTACTACTACTACTACTACTACTACTACTACTACTACTACTACTACTACTACTACTACTACTACTACTACTACTACTACTACTACTACTACTACTACTACTACTACTACTACTACTACTACTACTACTACTACTACTACTACTACTACTACTACTACTACCACTACTCGTGAAAATCCGCAACCCCAAGGCTCATGCAGCCATGAGAAATAAAGGGTGTGTAAGGTTGTCAAGGGCTCAGGCCCCAAGTTTCCCGGGCGGTCCCGGGCAGTCCCAGGTGAGCGGTTTCTTTTCTTCGGCGTTTCGACATTGGGCGGAAAGGAGGGAGGGGGGGGTCTGGCTCTGGACCTCTGCTTAGTGCGACTGTTTGCGACAGTGCGTCCTGTGAGGGGAGACTCCATCTGCTCGAAACAAGCGCCAAAAGCAGCCAAGATCTACTCCACGAGGGGGGGGGAGGAGGGGGTGCGAGGGCCCGCGCTGACCGGCAAAACAATGAAAAAAAAAGATCACCAGGCGCTCTTGGGGTTTGTCACGTGGGCCTCAGGGACGATCCCCTTGCTCAGGAGGGCCCCAACACGGGCCAAGAGAACCACGGGAAGCAGCCAAAACCGTCCAGGAGGGCACAGAATCGCTGAAAGATCGCTCCAATGCGCCCAAGGTAGCCTCCACATGGCCCAAGAGGCCTCGAAGACGCCCCAAGACGCATCCGAAAGCACCCCCAAGATGGCGAACATCATTGATTGTTCTGAGGTGTGTAAAACATTGTGGCGTTCTCGCCTTTTAGGGCTTCCCGACGCTCGAAGACGACCCAAGAGGCCCGCAATATCGCCCCAAGACAGCCGAAGAGGTCTCCACGAGGGCCCCAAAACGGCCCAAGGGGCCTCCAAGACGGCCCAACAGGCCCCCAAAACGGCTCCAAGAGGGGGCCCAGACCGAACGGACATTTCGAGCCCTCGGCCCCGAGGGGCCCTCAGAAGGCCCCAAGAGGCTCCCAACAGGCTTTTAAGAGGCCCCCAACTTGGGGGCCCAAGAGGCCCCCAACTTGAGGCCCCCAACTTCGAGCCCTCGGCCCCGAGGGGCCCTCAGAAGGCCCAAAGAGGCCCCCCAAAGGCTCCCAAGAGACCCCCAAGAGGCTCCCAAGAGGCCCCCAGGAAGCCCCAAGAGGCCCCAAAGAGGCTCCCAAGAGGCCCTCCAGAGGCTCCATAACTGCCCCCAAGAGGCCCCCGAGAGCGCTCCGACGAGACCCCAGGAAGCATCCTGAGGACTCTGACCCACAACCCAGGCACAATGGCAGGATGGCCAATAGCCATTACATGCTGTACCAATAAGCTAACGAGAATCGAGCCACTCAGGTCATGGTAATGATCGGATCTAGGTTTTATAAAAACGGCCCAGGATTTTGAAAATCCGTTTTGAATTTAGTAAGCCAGTTCTTGCGTTTATCAACTGATAGTTTGTTTTGTTTGGGTTAGGCGGCCAAACTTCATAGATCCTTCTCTCGCTTTAGTAAATCATCGGTGTGCCAATAATTTGTTTAAAAAATGTGCGTTCGTTCATTACCATGGCCCATGTTCGCCGGTGAACTGAGAATACGAATCATAAAAAGAAGAAAACGACAAAGGAACAAAAAGGAGGCCAGGAGGCACCACGGCCCTGGCCATGGTCTCCACACACACACACACACACCTCGTCCCCCTCCGAAATGCCCCCGAACTTTGGCCCATCCCGCCTCGCTTTCCGAGAGGCCCCTCTCGCAACCGTAAAAAAACAAGTGCCCCAGCACCTCCGGGGGCGCCCCCTGCGAAGCGCAGCCGCCGAAGGGAGGGCACCCCGAGGCTGCCAGCGCGACGAGCTGTCGGAGGACCTCAGTCGGGGAGACGTAAGACTCGGGTCCGGGGGACTCGGGCTGGCCTGACGGGGGCCATCATACAAATGACGAGACCCCATCTGAAATTTGACGCGGGCTCCCGCTGCAGACATCCCACGAGAACGGGACCGTCAAAATCCAGGCCGCGCTCGTCAAAAAAAAAGCTGGCAAGCCCGAGTTCTGGCTTACTCGAGTCTTACGTTTCCCCGACTCAGAGCCTCGAGCCGACGAGCTGGCAGAAAGCCTCTCCCTCCCGGGTCGGGCGAAAGGGGGGGATAGCAAAGGTGGGGTTTGAGAATCAGCTCACGTAGCTGATTTTCCCGGCGCTGGAGGCGCCCATGTATCGAGGAATGGGCCCCTCGGTGAGGCCGAAACCAGCTGCACGCAGCAGATTTCGCACCCCCCCCCCCTTTCCCCCAGCCCCCCCCCCTCTCGTCCGGCCCGACCCTCCCACGGCGGGCCTGGCCGAACATGCTCTTGACGGTGGTGGTCAGGCGCTCGTCCACGGCGGCGGCCGGGCGCTCGTCCGGCCGGGGCGCCGCGGCCCGCGGCGCCCCCCCGCCCTCGTCGGGGGCGCCGCGGGACCCCAGGAGCCGCAGCTTCTCCATCACGCCCAGGGCTTCCCTGCTCAGGCCCTCCTCCTGGGGGGGGGGGAAGGACAGGGGAGGGGCGAGTGGAGGGGAGGGGAGTGGTGATGTGAAACTAAAAGGGGCCTAAGCACACGCAAGTAAATATACACAACTCCCAGGATGCCCCATCTTTTCCCATGTTTTCTGTGTTTTCATCTTCCCCTCAACTTCCAATATTTTCCCATATTTTCCTGGGAATCGACGATGACTTATGTCTGTCTGTTTTTTCTCTCCTGAAAAACCTTGGGGCGGTGGCATGGCCGTGTCCTCGCACGCCATGGGATACGTTTCGGACAGTCTGATCGGCTGTCCAGCACTGTCTGGGGCATCCGGGGCAGCTTCCGACCCGGGGTGGTGGCTAACGCGGGCACGGTCGGATCCTGGCGAGCCGAAAAAGCAGCGGCGACGCAGAACACGGCACCGTGCGACTCTGGGAGCCCAGCCGAGTCTGCCGCTCCTTCAGGAAACCGCGCCCGCGGATGGAACCAACGCCGACACCGCCGCCTGGCCACCTATGTCCTCTCCACTTTGCCGAAATCGCCTACCACCCAAAACTTCTACAACACCGAACGGAAACAGATCAATGCCGCTGTTTGCTCAACATCAGCTATGACAAAAGATGGCAGCTCCTCGCAAAATATCGGCTTACTCGACACTCCCGTATGCAAGTGGCGCGTAGCAGCTCGGTACCCGAGACACCAATGCCGCTGTTGTTACGGGGCCTGGTCGTAGATATTGCTGCGCCCCCGACCGCGCAGCAACTATGAGCGACAACAGTCGGCATCGCCCAGAAACCTGCAGCCCTCATGCCTCGATGAGCCCAATCTTCGACCACGCCCGATTATGAACATGACAGTATTGAGTTGATCCTCGGGGCGTTTTTACAACGATGTGGGAATAGGAAAGCTCAGTTCCAAAACGAACCGCCTGAAAATCCTACGCGTCACCATCGGGCCTGCACGCATGTCGCGCGCGTCGCACCACAGGAGATCTCCGACCTGTTCCGTCCGAAACTTGTCGGCCAACTATCATCGGACGGCGGCCCGACCAGGCCAATGACTCGCGCAGGAACCACGGCCAACGAAGCGTCGTTTGAGGCGCCCACCGCCGGCGCGCCCCCCCGAGAGGGCGCCTGGCGCCCGCCTCTCCGCCGCGCGGCCGCCGCGCGAGCAGGAAGGCCTGCGATCCGTCGGCAGTTCCACAGGCAGGCGCTGGTTCCAAGCTGAAGACTCGATATGCGTACCAGCCTACGAGACCCAGCCAATGCGTCCAACAGGTCGCAAGCCTCCTTGATTGACCGGCGGCAGCGGCATATCCTCATGTAGGCTGCTCCCGATGCAATGTCCTGACTCGCTTATTCTCTTGACAGAACCGCCGTTTTTGGACCGTCAGCCGCAGTCCATGGCAGGGAGCGCGACGCGGGCCTGGATCTCCTGCGTGGCCAAGGCCGCGCTGCTGAGCTGCATCACGTGTCTGATGAGCAGCTTGTTCTTGGCCCTCAGCAGTGCTGGGATGTGCGGGGCCCCGTGGGGCTGGATGAGCAGCGCGCGCGCGCGGCTGATCCAAGGGTTAGGGGGAAGAGGCGAAGGGGGAAACATATGTGCGGGGAGGGGGAGGGCGAGCAAGAACGAAAACGGACCTTGCCAGAATCGAGGCAGACCGGTCACCGGTACGTGTCACGCACCAAAGAGGGGACGGACATGAGAAACATTTTTATCGCAGCGCGGCGGAGGCAATCCGCGCGGGCGCCCGACTTGTCGGGGGCGCGCGACCAACGCATTGTCCGGCTGTAAGAGAGAGTGTGCGCGGGAGGAGAAGCAACCGCACAGGACAGGAGCGAGAAGGAAGGCACTCACGGCTGAGAGCGTTTCAGGATGCGCGCGCCGGAACGGCTAGCCGGGGCTGAAGTGACCTGGCAGTGGGCGCGGGACGGCATCACGGCCACGCGGGACCGACGCCAGGGCTGCAAGCGCTGGAAGCGCGAAGAACAAGGCGAACCAGCACACGAGGAAGAGGGCCCACGGAACCGCAGGAGCGGGGGCATCCGCTTGTCCGCCACGTTGCCAGGAACGTTTTGCTGCAAAGGCCGGCCCCAGCTGGATGCAGGACCAGGATGGCCCAGGCAAAGCACCAGAGGCCCGTGCGGTGGGCTGCGCCGAAGCTCGTAGGCCGCGGCAAAATGCCGTCTGCAGTCGGCGGCGGCAACGGCCCGTGCGGCGCCACGGTGGCGCGGGAGGGGGGGGGCAGGAAGGCGGCGGAGAAAGAAGGAGGACGGAGGAAGGAGGAGGGAAGGTGAGGAGGAGGAGGAGGAGGAGGAGAGGAGGAGAGGAGGAAGGAGGAGAGGGAGGAGGAGGAGGAAGAGGCGGAGGAGGAGGAGGCGGAGGAGGCGGAGGAGGCGGAGGGAGAGGAGGCGGAGGAGAAGGGAGGAGGGAGGAGGAGGCGGAGGAGGAGGAGGTGTGAGGGGCGAGAGGCGCCCTGCCCGGCTGGCGCACGCATCCAGGCGGGGCGGGCAGCAGCCCGGCCACAGGGGGCGGCCAGGCGGTGGCCGGGGCCCAGCCGCTGGAGCCGCTGGGGCGCCAACGGCCTGGGGAGGGCCGGCGGGGGCCGGCCCAGCACGCAGCTCCCAGGGGGGGGGCGCGCGCAGGGCAGGGCCGCCAGGGGGGGGGGGGGGGGGGCACATGCGAACCCTACCCTACCCCCTGACCCGACCCCCCCCGAGCGAAGTGAACCCCACCCTCCCACTCAGAAATCGTGGGGGGCAGAGGTAGGGTTCGCATGTGGCCCCCTACATGGGGGGGGGGGGGAGCGCGAGCGCGGAGGGCGCGAGCTCGAGAGCCTGAGGCGCAAGCGCGGAGGGCGCGAGCTCGAGAGTCTGAGAGGGGGACAGGCCCCCAGGGGGCGGCCTGCAGCCCAGGAGCACCCGATCGGCGCAGGGGCACGGGAGCACCTTGGAGCAGGGGAGCGTCCGCCCTGGAGGGCAGACGCTCTGGCTGGGGCACCTGGCTGGTGCAGAGACACGCGGAGCAAAGGAGCGCCCACCACGGAGGGCAGGCGCCCCTGCAGGGAGGCGGGAGCGGCGCCCCAGGAGGATCCGCCTGGCGCTGGCAGTGTCTGGAGCCGCCGCCAGCACAGCGCGCGCTCGGGTGAGGCCACGCGCCTGTCCAGGGGCGGCGCAGCCCGCGCAGGTGGGCCCCGAGCGCCCTGGTCCTGCGGAGCGCGCCTGTCGATGGGGGCTCCTCGCGCCAGCATCCCGCCCCGCCGTGAGCCATGTCCCACGCAAGCGGGAGCTGCCCCCCAGAGGAACCAGAGGCGTCGCAAGAGCGTTCGCCACCTTTGCCTCTCCCTCCGCCGCTGCGCACCTGCTGCTCCTGCTGGCGCCATACCTCACCATGCCGTTGCACCGACCTTGCAGGCGTGCTGCAGCGGATTTTCGCGTGGATTTGTGTCAACGCAGCGACCCGAGACGGCGAGTGAAAAGCGGAGTGAATTTCGCGTGGATTTGTTTGTCTTCATCCCTGGCCAAAAAATCCGCATGAAAATCACCTCGAAATGGAACGACATTATCCAGGACACTCCAGGCCCATCCGATCGTTTTCCGGTCGAATCTGCGATGTTGGCACCATGACACCCTGGCCTACTCGGACTATGCGGCAACGGTTAAAAGACCAGACGTCGTGGTGACAGTCGGCCAGGTCCGACAGGCATCGCGCGCAGAACTTCTCGATGCCGTCCAGGCTCCACCGCCTCTTGCCTCTGAATTTGCCGCCCTGGTCATCGCAGGAGCGGTTCCCGCGCTCCGCGAATATCGCCCCACAAGCCGCCTCGAGCTGGCTGGTGACTTCGGGCCAGGTCTCGAAGCGCTCGACCTTGCGATTCCACAGCTGCCACCACTCGATGTCGTGCCGGGGCACTCGATAAAGGCTGTCATGCGTATATCCTGCCAGCCTTAGGTCGGGCCTGTCCCCCTACAGGGGGATTTTCGACAAAAAAAACATTCCACAAATATTAAAACATGCCCCCCCCAAAAAAAAACTCACAAAAATAGTCCCCTGACTGTTCTTTTACTATTTCTGAATGTTCCCCCTGTAGAGGGACAGGCCCGACTTACTGCCAGCCACGCCGGCAGTGCGTCGACGCGTGCCTTCAGCAGATGGGGACGGGTGCCGTGGGCGCGCTGCTCCAAGGCCGACGAGTCGCCGCGGGCGCTGGCGCAGGGTCCGTCGCCCCTGCCCCGAGTCTTAGGTGGGGCCTGTCCCCCTACAGGGGGAGCTTCTACGAAAAATGGAAACGTTGGCCAAATATACTCCCCAAATGCCCCAAAAATACGGACAACATCATCCCCAGACTATTTTTTATAACTATTTTTGAGCATTCCTTTTGTAGAAGGACACGCCCGACTGAACTCCAGTCCAGGTCGACCAATCGGCGGCACTGTGGGCGCGCGGGGCTTGGCTGACCAGGCTGCGAGGGCGGCGCGGTCAGCAGCTGGCCCCGCACCATCCCCGGTGGGGCCGACGACAGCTCCGCCTGCTGCGGCGCTATGGACGGGCGCCGCCGCGGATGACCCGGGCCAGGCGCTCGGTGTCCGCGCCATCCCATGTCGTGACCCAGTCCTGCCCAACCCTGGCACACAGGAAACGCCCTGCGGGAACCTCGTCGACTGGTCCTAGCACCGCGCCAGGAGAGACGTTGGGCGAGAGCTCCGCGTCAACACGACGGCCAGGGCATCTAGATCAACTTCCTCATAACATGGACTTTCAGTGTGGCGTTTCTGTTATCCCTCCCTTCCCATGCCTCCCTCCTCCTCCTCCTCCTCCTCCTCCTCCTCCTCCTCCTCCTCCTCCTCCTCTTCCTCTTCCCTTTTTCCGCAATCCTGCGCACGCGATTTCTCTGCCAAGGCCTGGCGACGGGCACACCAGCCCTCACCCCCCTCTTGGACGCAGCCGGGCATTGAGCACGACGGACGGGGCGGGAGCCAAGCCAGGGAGGAGGGGGGCCAGGGATAGGTG